AAAATCCGAAGGATATGAAAATGTAATTATATATACATTGGGCAATACAAATTATGAGAATCTGAAGTATAACTGGCGTGTTTGGGATCAAAATGTGTTTATTAATCAAATACTATAATTTTGTAGCTCCAATGCTCCATTTCCTCTCATTCTACAATCTATACTCTCTTTTTTTTTTTTTGAGCAAAATTCTACAATCTATACTATACGTACGAACTCAGTACTGCTTTCACAATCTCTACATTGGCCTTGGATAGGTCTTCGGCATGAATTAATATATATGTCCATCTGGATGATTCAAACTAATTTTGAGATTTTGTATTAAAAAAAAAAAGGTGAGGTATTCTTGTCATTAAATTTATGCATTTACAAGAACTGATCGTAATTAAAATTGCTGTCAAATGATTTGGACCCCATATCTTATTTTTGAAGGATGGATCACTTGATCGGTGTGCATTATGAGTTGGTAGGAAAGTATGAAACATTGATGACTATATATTGCATTGGTATCATTTTCGCAAGCATTTTTTTTTTAATAACATGCATTATGTTATTAATATTTATTCCCCCAACGCCGAGGAAGATTTCATTTTAGCCACTCTCTTTTCTAAAACCAACGGAAATCACTCGTATTATATAGATTATGCATTATGGGATGAATTGGTGTTCTAGGGGGAACGTACCTGATCGAATAAAGACAAACCAATGCAATAATCAAAAGTCTTAGCATAGATTTTGGAGATCTCTCCAGCCTATAACACACGTTTGTTTAGATTTACCCTCGTGTGCAATATCCTTTTGTTTTTATTTGGAGCCTAAATGATTTCGTAATCTTAATTGATCTCCTCCTGCACGAACTTCTATTCCAAACCCGTTTCCGTGTTTGGACTTTTTTTTGTTTTTTGGCAGCGTGTTAGCTAGGACTTAGGAGAATCCGATCCACTTTTTTAAGAGATTCTTCTACCAAGATATCAACGGTAACAACCACATAAATACACATTATTGATATATAATCTTTTGCATGATCTCGTGGGTTTCCTTGTACGTATATTTTAACCTTTCAGAGGATACGTGCATGCATTCTTTTGGATGTAAGGTTTATTATTAGCCAATTTCTCAACAACTCTCACTACAATCATTCGACCATTAACTATTTTTATCTGATTGAATTACAAATAATAATAAATGATCGAATTATGCCTTTAATTTTTGTAGATGAGTGATTGTGATTATGAAGAAGAAGTCACTCTGATGAAGGCTGAAGAGAGGGATTTATTGTGGCTTAGCAAGTTGAAAGCTGTCCACAAAAAAAAAAAAAAAAAAAAAAAGAGTAGAAACTGTGATTATATATTGTGACCAGATTAAGTAAGAGTTTAATCTAATAAAAAATAAGGAAAAAAAGTAAGAGTTTAATATTTATCAAATTCAAAATTAAGGCGTCAGCAAAATTGACTATTCTAGCTGAACAGTCTTTAGAAAGAAAGAAAAGAAAGCCCAATACTACGGGCTCTTCATGAAGCCCATTTTATTGGCCCATTAACACAATCGCCAGGAGTATTTGACCAAAAAGTCAACAGTTTTATGGCATATTAATATGACACATACATATAGTAGACTTTAATATTCAACGGAGTCGTCCTATAAAGGCTGAAAAAAGGGAGAGAAGAAGAGGCAAGATGTTGATCCATGTAATTATATTCATGATCATAACCACAATGCTAATCTCGACGACATGCCATGCAAATGTGATCAACGTGACCAACATTAACGTATCAATGTTCCCGGCGATTCTTGTGTTTGGGGATTCCACAATCGATACCGGCAACAACAACTACATCAAAACCTACATCCGGGCTAATTTCCCTCCTTACGGCTGCAATTTCCCCGGCCACAACGCTACCGGAAGATTCTCCAACGGTAAACTCATTCCGGACTTCATAGCATCGCTTATGGGAATCAAAGACACCGTTCCTCCTTTCCTCGACCCTCATTTGTCGGATTCCGATATCCTCACCGGGGTGTGCTTTGCCTCGGCTGGTTCGGGTTACGACAACCTCACAGATCTAGCAACTTCAACTCTATCCGTTGCTAAACAGGCGGATATGCTCAGAAGTTACGTGGAGAGGTTGAGCGGGATCGTAGGGGAAGAGAAAGCTGCCACGATAGTCAGCGAGGCTTTGGTGATTGTAAGCTCTGGAACTAACGATTTCAATCTAAATCTCTATGATACTCCTTCTCCTCGCCACAAGCTCGGCGTTGATGGCTATCAAAGTTTCATTCTTTCGAGTGTACACAACTTTGTTCAAGTAAACAACAATTCCTATTATACCACACATATGCTTTTTGATTATAAAATTATTTTCTTGCAGTTCTTTTATTTTTCCATGATTTTGGTTTTGACAATGTTAATTTTGTCTTGTGGATGTTATAGGAACTATATGACATTGGATGCCGTAAAATAATGGTGTTAGGACTACCACCGGTCGGGTGTTTACCGATTCAGATGACGATGGCTATGCAAAAGCAAAACAAGAGAAGATGCATCGACAAACAAAATTCAGATTCACAAGAGTTTAACCAGAAGCTAGAAAAGTCCTTGACGGATATGCAATCCAATCTCACTGGCAGTGTCATCTTCTACGGCGATATCTACGGAGCATTGTTCGACATGGCTACTAATCCTCAAAGATACGGTAACGTTACGTTTCCTTTAATCCCATGCGAATTACGTTTCGCACTAAATCTAGTTCTCCTTGCGTTTTGATCAATTACACCTCTTTCTAAATTATATTGTATATAATGGATATATATATTTGATTTTTTATTTTTATTTTTAACAAATATATATTCGAGGTATATTGGATCATTTACGAAGAAAATATCAGATAAATGCAAAATAAGAAGAAGAAAAAAAACAATCAAACCCAAACCATAGTCAACTTTTTCATCCAATTTTTACGTATCACGTACGTGTGAAGTGTACGTATTTTTACAGGTTTTCTTTTTTGATAAATATATATTTTTTTTTGAATAATTGATAAATATATTTTACATGGTTTAGAAAAACATTTGATTACAAACGAAAATGCAAGACGAAAGACTATGTAATATTTCATTTTATTAGAATGTAGTAATTAAAGTGATTCCTTCGAAGGGGACAGGGTTAAAGGAGACGACGAGAGGATGTTGCGGGACTGGAGAAATGGAGTTAGCGTACTTGTGCAATGCTTTAACTCGGACTTGTCCTGACCCTAACCAATTCCTTTTCTGGGACGACATTCATCCTTCCCAAGTTGCTTACATAGTCATCAGTCTCAGTCTTGTTGAACAAATTCTCCACGTACTCTCTTGATTTTCATTTTTGCTTCCATATATATTAATCTGTAGTCTCAATCTATATTAATTTTCCTCTTGGTTCACATAATCTTTCGTGTTTACTTAAGCTAGTTTTTACATGTATACTGTTATGATACTATACCACTGTTTCTTGTAACTTGTAACCTCAAGGAAATTTCTTACATCAAAAGAGCAATAAAAGTAGCTGACAAATCAACATCGAAAAGGTGATTCCACCCATCCATGAACATTATTCACCCAAGAAAAAAAAAAACAGAATGATTCACAATTTTACAAAAAATTTCGATTAACAATTATAATCTTTTAATTTCTTTTCATATTTAATTTAATCATCTTGAGCTTTCCTTGAACAACCCTTTAATTCTAAACTCCACATCTTCAACAGTATACGGAATAAACGGCTCTCCACGCCTCCCATTAATCTCCGGCGACTCCTTCAATCTTCTGATGAAATTCGAGTACGCGGGAGACACAATTCCGGCAACAGAGCTTCTTAACTCCTCCCTCAACTGCCCATCAGTAACAACCCATTGAGATTGAGTCTTACACACCTCATCAAACTGGGCTTTGAACAATCTAAGGTTCTCTATTAACTTGGGATACGGACCCTCGGTCCTAAGCAATCCCACCACTTGGTTCCATGAGCTCCTTCGGTAATTAGAATGGTATTGCCTCAGTTTCGCCGCGTGTTTCACAATCCAATCTTCTCCTAGGATTAAACCTAGCTCGTTATCCTTGGCCTTATCAAGAATATACTTGTCATTGTTCATCATGAACAAGAAGCACAAAGCCGGATCGCGGTAAGTTCTTTTCTTGCCTTCCAAGTTACTCTCCAACAACTCCAAAACCCATACGATTTGCACAGACAAAGGTCTCGTGTCTGATCCGGATTCATTCCCAGTCTGGTCAAGAATCTGCTCCAACGATTGCCGCGATTTACACGCCGCACGCAGATAATTCATCACGTACCGCGTGATCGGGTGAATCCCACCGCCAGGAAATGCGGTTTTGGGAGGGTCACGACGGATTAAGTTCTCCAGCTCCATAAATATCCCTCTAATCGCTTCCCCTAACCGTTTATGAATCGCAATCGCCTCATGCCTTAGCGGCAAACAATATCGATCAGAGAATAGCGTTTCCATCTTAGGAATTAGGTCTTGCATCGCTTCGTATAAATCCACAACCTTAAATAAACGTTCAGGCAAACGGCTCCCTAAAGCGATCGCGTCGGCGAAATTCAGAAGCTGTGTGGTGGTTCCTCGACAAACTTCCATGAAAGAAAGATCGGTTACAGAGGAAACAGGAAGATCAGAGAAAACGCGATCGCAGAGAAGACGCTCGCTTGGAAAGAAAACGCGGAACACCAGAGTTACGGCTTTGATCCAACGGTCGATTTCGTCTTCAAGATCTTGCCAAGGAGTCTCTTGAACTTCCTCCATACTCAATCCTCTGAGATGCAACCTCGACAAACTCTCCTCTAGAAACTCTCTTCGTCTACTGCTGTACGCTCTTGAACACTCTTTTGCATATCCACCAGCAACCATCCTCACAGCGATCGCGTTTAGATCGCCAATAACGCTAGATTGTAACGCCTCGATCACGATTTTGTAATCAGTAATTGGACGTGCAACGATTACCTGTTCAATTGTCAACCACTTAACCACTATATAACCGATAGTAAACCGGATTTTCTAATTCTAATTCCAAAATTAATTTAGTAATCATGCAAATTGAATTTAATTAAGGGTTGGCTGTATAAATCACCCTATACTTATAGCACTAAAGTGGAATCCCCCCAAACTATTAATCTCTTCACTATACACCCCAGTCTATTAATTTCTTAACAATTCCACATATCTAATTAAATCCTAAATGACGTTTACTAAACCATTAATCGCGTTTCACTGTACCACGTTTAGATTAATCTACTTGTAAAACGTTGACCACACTTTAATTAGACCTTCTTAGTGAGAAAGAGGGTTTCAAATTAAACCCTAAATATTTCTTTTGTCAAATCGTTTTGATTCACTTCTTCTCGTTTTGGTTCGTTGTTGTTGAAGCCAATCAGCCATCTTCGGAAGTTTTAGAGATTAGAGTCATCGCCGTGATTTTTCTCCAGGTCTGATTGGTTTCTCTGCATTGATTTTCTTTAATGTTTCATTGCAATTGTTTGACTATCTATGAATATGCTTGAGATAGTTACGTCAACGTTTTTTTTGTTTTTGGATTCTGGGTTTTAATGTTTACATATACTAGTTAAAATTCATCTACTTAACTAGTTTTCTTAGCTCTTCATGATCATGCTCTGAAAACGTCATTCAGTTTCTAGTGTTTTCATCTAACATAATTTTCATCATCACCTTGATTTCTAGTGTATCTTCTCTGTTCAATAGGGATTGCAGCAACTTATTAAAGGAATTTAAGGAAAACGTAGGGATTGCGGCAACTCCGAAAGAAATGACGTAAGTGTTGTTATATATATATATGTTTTTGCTATTAGAGTCGTAAGTGTTGTTGTGAGTTAGTAATTTGCAAATTCGGTTTCGTAGTGACGAAGTAGAAATTGATCCAGAGGATATGCTTTATAATGAGAGTGATGAGTCTAGTGATGAAGAGAGTGACAAAAGACGTGATGAGGAGGGTGACAAAGGACGTGATGAGGAGGGTGACAAAGGGAGTGATGAATCTAGTAATGAAGAGAGTGATAATGTGATTGCAGATGAAGAAGAACATGAAGATAATGGGGAAAAGAAGACTAGAAAAGGTAAAAAGAAGGAAGAGGAGAGTGAAGATGTATTGGAGCGTGATGAGTATGAAGTGCAGGAATCAGTAGCCAAATTTGTTGATGAGATTAGAATTGCCCGAAATACAATCCCAGAAAGCTCAGATGAAGATGAGGATCCGATTGTGGTGAGAGATAGAAGAATCAAAAGGGGAAGAGGAAGTGATAGATTCGCAATTGGAGATGCTTTCTTAACCGGTGTTGAGTTCAAAGAAGCTATTTTGGACTACGCATTGAAAACAGGACAGAATGTGGTTCAAGAAAGGTGGGAGAAGGACAAAATTTCGTTTAAATGTGGGATGAATGGAAAATGCTTGTGGAGGGTTTATTGCTCTTATGATGAGCCGAGGCAACTGTATTTGGTGAAGACAGTTTATGCATGGCATAGTTGTACTCCTAATGGGAAGTGTAAAATATTGAAAAGCCCTGTAATTGGAAGACTATTCTTGGACAAGCTGAGAATAAATGACAAGTTCATGCCTGCTGATATTCAAGAGAATATCAAAGATAAATGGAAAATTGTGTCTTCAATACATCAATGCCAAAGAGGAAGACTTCTTGCTCTGAAATGGATTGACCAAGAGTATGCCGAACAATTTGCTCATCTTCGAGGGTATGTCCAAGAGATACTCAATGAAAATAAGGGATCAACAGCATTCATTGAAACATATCCAAATGCAGCAGGTAAAGATGTGTTCAACAGATTTTATGTCTGTTTTGACATACTCAAAAAGTTATGGGCAGGTAGTTGTAGGCCTATAATTGGGCTTGATGGCACATTCTTAAAGGTTGCTGTTAAAGGAGTCCTCTTAACTGCCGTGGGACATGATGCAAATAACCAAATCTATCCAGTTGCATGGGCTGTGGTACAGTCAGAAAATTCGGATAATTGGTTGTGGTTTGTCACACAAATTAAGAAAGACTTAGGTTTAGATGATGGTAGTCGATTTGTCATAATATCAGATCGATCAAAGGTTATTTATGCTCTTATGTTCTGTTATTCTTTTTGTTCAGTATTTTTTTTTACTTTCTACTCAATTAAATAACAGTTTCCCTTCATATTTTGTAGGGTCTCCTTAGTGCAGTGAAAACTGAATTGCCAAATGCTGAACACAGAATGTGTGTTAAGCATATCGTAGAGAACTTGAAGAAGAACCATGCCAAAAAAGACGAGCTAAAGACATTAGTGTGGAAGCTAGCTTGGAGCTATAATTCAAAGGAGTTCAAGATCAATCTTGACAATTTGAGAAGGTATGATTTGGCATTGTACAATGATGTGATGAAAGAGCAACCACAAACTTGGTCAAGGGCTTTTTACAGACTTGGTAGTTGTTGTGAGGATGTTGATAACAATGCTACTGAGTCATTTAACTCTACCATCACCAAAGCTAGAGCAAAGTCATTGGTTCCAATGTTGGAAACCATAAGAAGGCAAGGCATGGAACGCATAACTAAGAGGAATAAGAAAGCAAATAAGCATCAAGGGAGATTTTCAGAGTATGTAGTTGATATTTTGGCATTAGAGAAGCCAGTTGCTGAACGGTGTAAAACATGGCGTTGCACCCATGGGATATTTGAGGTGTTTATAGATGGAAATTCTCATAAAGTGGATATGCAGAATAAAACATGTTCATGCGGCAAGTGGCAAATAACTGGGATTCCTTGTGAGCATGCATATGGTGCGATGATTGATGCTGGTTTAGATCCCGAAAATTATGTCTCTTTGTTCTTCTCGACTGATCTCTGGAGAGATACTTATGAGAGAGCCACCAATCCATTAAGAGGTCCAAAATACTGGATGAATTCAAGTTACAGGTTAGTAGTTGCACCTCCAGAACCTGAACTTCCTGGAAGAAAGAAAAAGACAAAGAAAAAGAGTTTTCAAAGGATAAAAGGAAAAAATGAGTCGCCAAAGAAGAAGAAAAAGAAGAAAGAAGTGGAAAAACTTGGGAGAGAAGGGCGCATCATCCACTGTAAAAGCTGCGGTGAAGCTGGACACAATGCAGCTGGTTGTAAGAAGTTTCCAAAGGAGAAGGTGAAGAGGAAAAGGAAGGCAAAGAAAATTCCATATGATGAGGTAATTTATGAGTGATTTAACATCTTATTTGTTGGTTTGCTAATGGAATGATTGGTATTCGTCTCAGTTTCCAAACAAGAAGGCTAAATTGGACAAGACGGAAAAGAAGGCTAAGATGGACAAGACGGAAAAGAAGGCAAAGAAAGCTAAGAAGGATAAGAAAGCACATGGATTTCATGAGGTAATTATTGTTCGGTATTGATATTGTTTTAACATTTTGTATTGGTCCCATTTTTGACATTAATCCATATTGCAGGTTGGTGCTTCGTCTAGTCAAGTTCCTGAAACAATCTCACTCACACAGCCAACACAAATGACGAAAGGAACACAAACAAGCAATGATGCTGTGGTTTAGGAGTCAACTTATGCATTATTTTTTTTATTTTTTTGCATGTTCTCTATACTCGTGACATGTAAAACGTTTCATAACGAATGTTTTCTTTTCATGAATAAGTTAATTTTATTTAATTGTTGTTATTTGGAAAACCTCTTTATCAATAAAAATATCACTTTAGGGTTCAATTTGAAATGTTTAGCGTTTAATTTGAAATGTTTAGCGTTTAATTTGAAACCCTCTTTCTCTCTGAGAGGATCTTACAATTTGAAACCATCTTTCTCACTAAGAAGGTCTAATTAAAGTGTGGTCAACGTTTTACAAGTAGATTAATCTAAACGTGGTACAGTGAAACGCGATTAATGGTTTAGTAAACGTCATTTAGGATTTAATTAGATATGTGGAATTATTAAGAAATTAATAGACTGGGGTGTATAGTGAAGAGATTAATAGTTTGGGGGGATTCCACTTTAGTGCTATAAGTATAGGGTGATTTATACAGCCAACCCTTTAATTAATAGATGAATTAATTACCCCGTCGCTTGTGTCGTTGTCTTCTTCGCCGGAGAACTCATCGTCCGAGTCAAACGAGTCAGGGGCTCGGTCCATTACAAACCCAAACTCTTCTTGAAGCCTAAACATCACCTGTTGAATCAGCTCATCGGCACGGGATTGACAGACGGCGACGGATTTATCTCCGGCCATGGATCTCAAGTCTCCGGCAATCGAAATTAGCTCATCAACAGAGTCGAGGAATGTGCGAGAGTCAACGGGATCGGACCAGATAGGCCGATCCGCCACGATGTAGCTGGAGATCTGTCTCTCTAAGGAATTGAGGGCTCGGTCAAGGTTGACGTTTGAACCGCCGCGGGATGCGGTGGGTCGAGGATCGCCGCCGCGGTTTCCGGAAGCGCCATAACCGGAGAGAATCTGTAAGATATCTCCGGCAGCACTTGGATCCTTGCCGAGAGCTCTGGCGATGTCTCTGGCAGCGGCGTATAGATTCTCGTCACCGGCTTCAGCCATATGATTGTTAATAATTTTTTGGGGAATTGGTGGAATTGAGAGAATAAAGACGAAAATCCATAGACGAAGACTATAATATTGTGGACAAAGTCTTCGGTTGAAGAATAAAGATTAAACGCGGGAAACATGTCTGACTTAGTTGTGTGTTTCTTCTGTTTGTACTTTAATGGAATCTGTAATTTCTTATTTGCCACGACTTTGTCTTCGTTTCGTTTCGTGTTTGTCTTTGTTTTGAGTGGGTTTTGATGTTTCCAGAACGTGAACGCATTTTAACAACCGCGTTCTGCGTTTGTTCATCGTGGAAATTGGTTATGGGCTAATTACTTCGGCACGTTGAATTTTCGGCCCAATGGACATATATCTATTAATTTTAAGATCTATAAAGTTTGCTAATAGGTTGAGAGGCCCACTTTTTTTTTCCTTAATTCAGGAAAATATTTAAAATGTTGTAGGAGCTTTGGTTCATGCACTGTCACTCTGTCACCTTGACTCGCATCTAAAATGGGGTCTGGCGATGGTTTTCCTAGTCGAGAATGGAAAAGGTCAGCTCCAGTCAGTGCAGCCTCCGCCATTTGGATCTCCCAAGATGCTAAATATGGTCGTTGGATTCATCGTTTGATCAAACTTATCTCATGTCTGTCTTCTTTTAGGTTTTGTGGGTTTTTCTTAATCAGAAAGCTTTTCTTTCTGCGTGTAGTAAGAGGAGTTATATCATTAAAAATTAATGTACTCGTCTGTCTCTCATATAAACTCTCCATAATGTACAAAGACTGTTTCCCCCATAGCAGTTTAAGCCAGGAACTCAGATGATCAATCCCAACCCAAATATTACTTGTCATAAAATTTGATACCTAAAAGAAAGGGGAAAAAAAAAGAAAAAATAAAGAATTGATGCTCCAATATTAATATTTAGTCTTACAAAATTAAATTTAAGAGTTTTATTGGAGACATATTTTTTTGGTTTTTGGTTAATAACGTAAATATATATTCTTGAGGACTTTTCTTCATTAAAAACAGACTTTCCAAAAAAAAAAAGAAAAAAAAAAAACAGACTTTCCTTTTCTTTTTTCTCTTTTATTTAATTAAAAACAGAAAAACCAAATTTTAAGAGGAAAAACCTCAGCCAGTAGATAGATAAAAAGGATTTGATTACTCACTACTCAGCATGCAATTGAAGACAAGTCACAAATTTAAGACCAGACAAACACAAATGTTAAGTGATTTCATCAAAGCTCTGGTGGATGATTGCTTCTCCACCACCAACACCAATCAATGGCTTCTCTTTACCTCAATTCCTTACTTCCACTTCCTCCTTCTCATCCCCAGAAACTTATAGAACCTTCTTCTTCTTCTCCTTCCTCTTTGATGAGCACTTCCAATGGTAACGAAGTTTCTCTGAAGCCGATTGTCATCAATGGAGATCCACCCACTTTCGTTTCTGCTCCTGCTCGTCGTATCGTTGCAGGTTCGCCACCACTAATCTGAAAAGTTCCAATCTTTTTGATAATTCTACAACGAAATTGAGTGGGTTTTGGTTGTGGATATGCACTTACAGTTGGAGACCTTCATGGCGATCTGGGTAAAGCCAGAGACGCACTTCAGATGGCCGGCGTCTTGAGCTCTGACGGACGAGACCAGTGGATTGGCCAAGACTCTGTATGTCTTCACTTACGACATTTTCTGATCCTAGTGGAATATAGTTTCAGTTCTCTTACATTAGTTGAGGGTTGAAATGAGTCTGCTTTGGACTTTTTGTTCTTCAAGATAAGGATATGTATATTATCTCTTAGTGGTTCAACATCGGTTAAATGGTTTCCTTGATGATATTATTGACAGTATCTGCTATAGTTCTACATTACACAACTTTTGAGATTGATTTTGATTTGCCCGTTAGCAGTTTATCATATCTTTTTGAGTTAAGTCCTTATGAGTTGTCAAATCAATGAATGAAAACACAGGTGCTAGTTCAGGTAGGAGATATACTTGATCGCGGTGATGATGAAATTGCAATACTCTCTTTATTGAGGTCACTTGATGGTCAGGCCAAGGCTAATGGTGGAGCTGTTTTCCAGGTTTTTAATGCTATCATACTTGAAACATAAATTATACAGGAAGCACACTTTGCATATTTTAATTTACTAGTTCTAGAATGATAATATAGGACTAACAAAGTGCAATTACTTGTTCAATTAAAAAGGTTAATGGGAACCACGAGACGATGAATGTGGAAGGGGATTTCAGATATGTGGATGCGAGAGCATTTGATGAGTGTACTGATTTTCTTGACTACTTGGAGGACTATGCACAAGACTGGGACAAAGCGTTTACTAATTGGATTTTTGAGTCAAGACAATGGAAAGAAGATAGAAGGAATTCTCAAACCTATTGGGATCAATGGAATGTAGTAAAGGTACTTCATTTTTGCTTTGTCCTTTCTGAGTTTTCATAGTTTTTGTATGTGTTGGTTATTAACCAAAAGTCGCTGGGAAAACCATTAGGACAGAGGCAAAAGGGAGTGATTGCAAGGTCGATCCTTTTCAGACCAGGTGGTCGATTAGCATGTGAATTGGCGCGTCACGGAGTTATTCTGCGTGTTAATAACTGGATTTTCTGCCACGGTGGTCTCCTTCCTCACCATGGTAAGGATAGTCAAGTCGATCTCAACATTTCGTTTCAGTGTTCTTTTGGATTTGATAATCATATGCTTGATATGTCCTTGCACAGTTGCATACGGCGTAGAGAGGATAAACAGAGAAGTCTCTACTTGGATGAGAAGCCCTACTAACTATGAAGACAGTCCTCAGATGCCGTTCATTGCGACTCGAGGATATGACAGTGTAGTCTGGAGCCGACTTTACTCAAGAGAGACTTCTGAGCTGGAGGACTATCAAATTGAACAGGCAAGTTGAATTTGAATCACCAAAATCTCAAAACTGCTAACACAGATATCATCATCAGCTTGGTTTAATGTCTTTCCTGACTTTTTTTTCTTATCAGGTAAATAAAATTCTTCATGACACTCTTGAAGCTGTCGGTGCCAAGGCGATGGTGGTCGGGCATACTCCCCAGTTATCAGGGGTTAACTGGTACATTTATCGAACTCTCCCCCAAAAACTTGTAGTAGATAAAAATCACAAGATCGTTAATGAAACATGGGTATTTTTTGTTGATAGTGAATATGGTTGCAGCATATGGAGAGTTGATGTAGGAATGTCCAGTGGTGTTCTTGACTCTAGACCAGAGGTACCTATCAATCTTGGTTCTTGATTCGTCTCGGTTTATAGAGGTTCTGAATCTGGTATTGTTTCTTCAGGTTCTGGAGATAAGAGGGGACAAAGCTAGAGTTATAAGGAGCAACCGTGACAGACTTCATGAACTTCAAGTTGCAGATTACATCTGAAAAAGCTTTAAAAGACAAGAACCAGACTCTCATGTTCAAGATCCAAACTTTATCGCCATATTTGTCATCATGAACAAAATAAAGCATCAGAAGGTTTCAGTCTTTCAGACAAGATCCAGATGTAGTTAAATGAGGGCATACTTTGAACTCTATGTATGTACGTATCTATGTATATATGTATGTGAATCATCAGAAACAACATACTATATTCATCAAGGAAAGGCCTTGTATAGCAAAACACTGGTTAGTGTTACTTAAAGAGTGGGGAAATTCTCTGGTTTTTGAATTGAATGTTTAGAAGTCACATTGATGAACAACATTGAGAAAGATATTCAACGGAAACAAAGTATCGAGAGATTGGAGAAAGTAGTGTTTAGTTTATTGAGAAGTGGATCTCAATCTTCGAAGCTGATCAATCCAACGATCCTCATTAACATCGGAGGCCCAATCAGGAGCCGTTCCAGGGAACGAGATGGCTCGCATTGCCTCCATAACCCTAACGGCGTTCTCCGCCACTAACGGCGATCTTCGACGCCGTTCGTCCTCTTCAAATGCTCTACGGATCTCCGGTTCAGTCTCCGTCTCTGTTTCTTCTTCGCTCTCTCCGTCTTCGTTTATTCTAATAGAGGAGATTCTTTCCTCTGCTTCCGGGATCATACAATGGCCGTTAGAGAGACCGTTGCCACCGACTGGAAGATAACTGTCATCATCGTCATCGTCATCGGCGTTATCTAGATCGACGGCTGAGATCGGTTCGTAATAGTTTTGTGAATCTTCGACGGAATTAGAGTCGGAATCGCTACCGGCGTTGTTGTTCTCTGCAAATAAATGCATCTGGTTAACCAATTAAGTAGATCCCAAATTTCGAAAATCCGAAGAAACAAATCTGTTTTCCGGATCCTCAGAAGAATTTAAACAGAAGAAGAAGGAGAGTAGAAGAACCTTCCATAGAAGCTTCGATCACCTGGAGACGAGAGGGAAGCAGCTGCTTCTGCGAAAATTTGAGATGTGAACGTGTTATGTCGGAGCATGAACTGAAAAAGCCTATGAAGTATGAAGTCGTGTTACACTGAGTTGACTCGGATTACCAGACCCATTTATATAAGCCCATATTAAAAGACGCCCACTTTATGAGGCCCAAGCATGAATCAAAGTCAGGCAGGACCTCTGTTGCATCGGTTGGAACTTGAATCAGACAAATTATCCAAGTATATACGATATAGAGAATTGAATCCATCGACTCATTGCGTAGAACCCTAGAAGTTATATATTTACCCTAATCGATATAGAGATCAAGTATCTATCTGAAAAGTTGTATTTGCGATCGAAACGATTAGCGGCGGTGTTACTCTCTCTCTTGGTGATCTAACCGTGTCTATCTATTTTTTCGAATACTTACCTGGTGTTTGATTCCCGTTCTAGATTGAAAACCAAGTTTTTGATTTTTTCTTTTTCTTTTTTTAAATGGTTTAAAGTCTTGAATGATGGAGCGTCCTCCTACAAGTGAGGTAGCTAGGGCTCCAATAGCGGTCTATTGGGACATGAAGATGTGTCCGGTTCCCTATGGCTATGATGCTCGTCGTGTGGGTCCGTTTATTGAATCGAATTTGAGGCAGTTAGGCTACACTGGTCCTATCACCATCACTGCTGTTGGCTTACTATCAGATGTCCCTGAACAGATCCTTGAAGCGCTCTTTTCCTCTGGAGTCTCTCTTTCTAACGTCCCCTACGGTTAGTATCTTCTCCATCCTTATTCCCTTATTTGTTTAGAGACTCTCTCAAGTCTTTATTTGTTTTTGAAACAGGTACCAGAGACGTGGCAACGCTTGTCTTGTTTCGTACTTTCGATTTTCCACCTCCAGCTAGTTTCATGGTCATATCCCATCCAGAAGATGCCGCTGTATTTCTTGACTTGGTAAGTGAGATAGGATACAACACTATTTTCCCGTTTCCACTCAAAGAAGCCGCTTCTCATCTAGAAGATGATGATGGAAAGCCCCTCTGGGAAAACTTTCTTCGGGCAGGTTTGTGTTTTCCCTCATCTCTCACTGTCTTCACTGTCTTCACTGTCTTGTTGTTGCTTAACTAGCTACCATTTCTTTCTTTTTTTGTTCCACATATACAGAGCCTCCTGAGGAGGATAAGTGCAGTGAAACAGGTCAATCCTGGGTTTGCCGTGTGTGCCATGGAGTTACTGGCCGAGACTTTCAAAGCTTTATGACTCATCTCTCTACTCCAAAACATATTTGGGAGGTAATTAAGCATCCCTAGCCAAGTTTTGTCATCTTCCAACTATATTTGACTCAAACAAGCTCTTAGCTCTTACCCAAAGTAGTTTATTTCCCTTCCTCACATGTAGTTTATTTTCCACTGGATGTACATTTGTTTTTCAAGCAGTTTCCGCGCTGGCATACCTATGCTACTAGCGGCAACCAAATCCCCTGTGTAAGCTCGGACGAATCGGTGGATGCTGTTGAAGAGGCTCCCCTTGATTCTTATCCCGAGAATGCTACTATCATGGTGAGTGAAGAAGCAAGCAAAAGGCCTGTTTTAATATCTGTCTGTATCTGTCTGAAAGCGTTGAGATATCTAATCTTTCGAATTCTGCGGTTTTCCTATTGAAAACTAAAACATTGTAGGCTTAGTAGCGAAAGCACAAGAAGAGGAGGACGTGAAGAAGAAGAATATGAAGAGTACATGGCCCTTGGTGTTGTTCTTCTCGAAGGCCTTCCCTTTCGTGTGGTGAATCGGACATTTGTTCTACTTGTAGCGGCAAATGTTGGGTTAACTTATAAGTCGTTTTTCTTTTTAAGTTATGGAGATCGGACATAGTAACCGTATGGTATGTTTGAAATGATCAATAATGTGACAAGTATGTTTTTATCTACGTGTGATAAAAAAAATATTAACACTAAAGCTCTTTGAATATTCGATAGTAAATGCCGGCTTATAGCTCTTTCTACAATTCTAAAATATGTTTTAAAACTGATCCTCCGTATATCTATCTTCTTCTTCTTCCCTTATCTACTTCTATTCGTTAAACACTACTACGAGCTTCTGCTTTCGACGACTGCTCGGATCCTTCTCAGCAGAGGGAACCATGAATCCTTCACTCGTCACCGCCATTAACGCTCCAATTTCACCTTCTCCTCTTCTTTCTCACTTGCTACCTTCTTACTCGCCGTCGTTATCGACTTTCGTTCCCTCGTAGCTCAGCTGCTTCCTCCGACCAATTATCAGCGAAGAATCTCGGTATCCATGGGAATAAGAAGGAGCTCACTGGATTGTGGAGAAAATGACGCCGCCGGTGAGGCTAGCCACTTCAGCTGTTGTTTTAGCTACTGGTTACGGCCTAGGGCTCCGGTGTAGTTGAGTGGATCTTGATTGCAGAATCACTGATTCCTTGGTGTTGTTTAGATTGGCCGCAGGATTTTTAGGCAAAGGCTTGAGACTGGGGAACGTGAAGGTGATGCAGAACAGCGTCGGGTGAGTCGCCAGCCCCTAGTATTCGTTAATTTTATCGTTGGATTGTTCAGAAAGAGAGCATAAGCGTGATCACAAGTTGTATGCTTCCAGTGCAGGCATTTATGAGGCTTGTATATGTTTCAGCTCTTGTGTTTGGAGATGCTTCATCCTTCCTTTTGCCTTGGAAGCGAGTATTGAAGGTCACAGATGCCCAGGTAGGCATTTCTAAGTCCTTCATACTTGTGATTTTTCGCAATAGTTGTTCTATGGGAAGTTGCATATTGGCAGCTTACTCCTACTTGGTAATCTCAAGTTCTGTGCTAATGTCTTGACCTCATTTCTAGGTTGAGATTGCTATTCGTGAAAATGCAAAGCAGCTGTATGCCCAACGGTTAAAAATTAAAATTAGTTGGTAGAGGTAATGTTGTTTATGTTTTACATTTTGAGATGGGAAGTAATGTTACATTTGTAGAACTGAGGAAGTCTGCTTGAGTTGGTTATATCAATTATTGTGGCACTTCTTTGTCCATTGGGTTTTGTAATATTCGTTTCTCAGCAACCTTAATTGTTGCTTCACATGGGACTGTAGTGATGTAATGAATTCTTATCATTTAACATTGATAATAGACAATGCTTAGCTTTTTTCATCAACTTAATGCATGGAAACTTACATGGTTATGTCTCTAAACATGTTCTTACAGATATTAACGTAGAAAACCTTGTGGACCTAAAGCACAACTATCATTCAAGCTCTCTGATGAGGTACTCTATTTCTTTGTGGCATTGACTTCCTGCTATCTCTGGTTGTACTTCTTCTGACAGTTTCTTCTCCCTCACAGCTTGCTGAAGACCTGTTTAGAGAGCATACTAGAAAAGTAGTCGTAGAGAACATTTCATCGGCACTCAGCATACTAAAATCCCGCACACTAGCAGCGTAAATCATTTTAACATATTGCTTACTGAATCATGCATAGAAAAGTCGTATAGAATAATCATAATCCATGTGAATTAGTTTGGTTTACACATTCAACTTTTTTTTATCTCTTGTACCAATTAGTTATGACTTCAGCTGTAGGCTTGGGTGGGTATACGTATTCCTTTGCTTGAACATTGAGTTTGGTCGGGTTGAAAAAGAGATTGAAGTTTTGGCTTTAGTTTTGAGTTTTGGTTATTGCAAAAACTGATTGGTCATATGATCCTCTTTTGCTTTTGTGAAGTGTCTTTTAGTTTTAAATAGTTTTAGGCTGTGAAGTGAAGTCATGAGATTTTAATTTTTAGGCGTTTTTGTATATTGTGATCATTAATAGTGGAAACAAATTGGATCATCTAGTATGTCTAGTATTTTTTTTTTTTTTCATCAGTATGTCTAGTTTATAGTAGTTTACAATGCATGTCATTTTAATAACCTGATTTTTTCCAAAAAGAGTTTGGCATCTGTCGTGGAAGAGCTTGAAAAGGTACTGGAGTTTAACAACCTGCTGGTTTCCTTGAAAAGTCATTCAGAGGCAGATCAATTTGCATGCGGGGTTGGCCCTATTTTTTTTGATAAGTGAAGATGCTTTTGACCTTCTCTTTTCTGAATAATAATTATTGGCTCTCAACCTTGGATCTATGTGGCTTAGGTGATGAGTCTGATTTTGAGAGGAGAATGGATGATTTAAAGCTCCTTTATAGAGCATATGTCACAGATGCTTTATCTGGTGGGCGCATAGCAGAAAACAAGGTAAACTTAAACCAGTTTTGTATAAGATATTATATACTAAAGCTTGGTTGCGAGTTCTTTAGGGAGCAGGTGTCTCAGATGCTGTATCCTCTATCCCAGTCCCTTGATTTTTTTTTTTTTTAAATTTCTGATTTTTCTTTCTGCTGAATGGTAGCTCGTGGCAATGAGCCAGCTTAGAAACATACTCGGACTGGGAAAACGAGAGGCTGAAGCTATTAGTGTTGATGTTACGTCCAAGGCATACCGTAAAAGACTTGCTAACGCTGTTTCTAATGGTGACCTTGAAGCACAAGACAGTAAAGCAAAATACCTTCAAAAGCTCTGCGAAGAGCTGCACTTTGATGCACAGATGGCAGGCGCAATCCATGAAGGTATACGTGGGACATTCCGTTCACCAATGAAACATTATGTTGTTATGTTATGCATGAGGTATACAGTTTGAATTGCCACAAAGTCGCCCAAATATAAGATGTGTCCATGGGTTAACTAAAATCTTATCAATTTAGTTGATGGCTTGTAAACCTGCTGGTTCCTTATTCTTGCAAGCTAGCTTTTAGTGTTGTAGATTTGGGTCTTAACAGACTTCCAACAAGTCTGGCGTTTCACAGGGTTACATGCTGTTACTTTACAGTTTTACTATCTGTTTTTGGTCTTTTTTCCTCAATCATCTGACAAGCACCTTCTCTTCTTCAGAAATCTATCGGCAGAAGCTTCAACAGTGTGTTATTGATGGAGAGCTGAGCGATGATAATGTTGCTGCTTTATTAAGGTTAAGAGTCATGCTCTGTATTCCCCAGCAAACTGTTGAGACAGCTCATGCAGAAATCTGTGGAACCATATTTGAAAAGGTAATCCAGTTATCCTCCCTTGTCCCTTTATCCTAGGTTTTTTGATGGTCTTGGGTCTTGGCAGTGCAATTTCCGGCTTCCTTCGCATCTTGTTGCTGAAAGGTTTACCTACATTTACTTTTTTGTTTGACCTTATCCAGGTTGTCAGGGAGGCAATTTCTTCTGGAGTGGATGGTTATGATGCTGAAACTCGCAAATCAGTAAGAAAGGCTGCACATGGTCTTCGGTTATCCAGAGAGACTGCCATGTGTATTGCTAGCAAGGCTGTGAGTATCACACTATTTACTTTCTCCATGTTTGGTATTAGGATTTGCTATTTTTTTCTGACTTCTCATAGCAGGACATGAAAAAAAAATCCCTTCATTAATGCAGGTCCGTATGGTTTTCACAAACTATATCAGACGAGCAAGAGCAGCAGAGAACCGCACTGAGTCAGCAAAGGAGCTCAAGAAGATGATTGCTTTCAACACGTTAGTTGTGACTGAAATGGTGACTGACATTAAGGGAGAATCTTCTGATAAGGCACCTGAGGAGGACCCTGCTGAAATGGTGGCTAAAGAGGTATGTACTTTTGAATTGAATTCGTTAAATGATTGTTTTGTCATTATTTTTAGTCGTAGTCTCAGAGATCCATCGTTCTTTCTTCATCCTATATCACTGCAAATTCTAAAATTATGGCCCTTTTACGAACTCATTAGTGTGTGATAGTCTGAAGCTTTTTGTCTTGTATCTCTCTCTACTTGTTTAGCCCGAGGACTGGGACGAGGAAGAAAACGGTCTCTGGGAACCTCCAAAGATCCCAAATCCTGCGTTCAAAGGTCCTTGGAAAGCAAAGGTTATTATTTGACAGTCATCAATGGTTATATAGATTACCACCTTTTCTTCTACACCATTTGACATTTCTCAAAACATTATTTTCCTACAGAATCAAGAACCCGAACTACAAGGGAAAATGGAAGAACCCATGGATAGATAATCCAGGCATGTTTCTGCATATTTAATGTGTATCTTCGTTTTGAGCTGGATTTCTTCTTGTAAATACTAAGCTTGAGCTTCTCGGTTTTGCACAGAATTTGAGGATGATCCAGATCTTTACGTTCTGAAGCCGATAAAATATGCAGGCATTGAAGTATGGCAGGTAAGTTCTAAAGCTTTCTTGAATTCAATCACATATAACCTTTATAATCACTACATCACCACCAGACATGGATGAACATTTATATAATAGTCACTGCCAGTTAGTTATTTTAACAATGCAGCTCGTACATATAGATCATCCAAATACTTAGGGTAGAACTTTTAGGATTAACACAAAACAAAAAGAAACAGAAAAGATCAGATAAAAGCCTTCATTTTAGACGAGCTAGGGACCAAAGTTATCTAGTGCATCTGGATGAAGACATTGATTTTTAATGCTGCAGGTGAAGGCTGGCTCTATCTTTGACAATATCTTGATCTGTGATGACCCGGAATATGCAAGAAGCATCGTGGATGACTATTTTGCCCAGCACAGGGAGGTAGATTTCCAAACCTTTGGATATTTTTTTGCTTGTTTTTTTGGATAAAATCGAAGTAGTTTTTCGATCTTAGGATTGTGTAGTAATTGCAAATGAGATTTTCTGCATACTTTTTATATACGAAAATGTCTTATTAGTAATTTGATATGCTATATACTTGGCCATACGCACCAGTCTGAGAAGGAGTTATTTGCGGAGGCTGAGAAAGAAAAGCTAGAGAAGATGAGGTTTGTAGTTTACAAACAAGTTCTTGTTCCCTTTTCAAATCTTCTCTGTATATCTTAGTTACGAGCATGGCCATACAAATCGATGTTTACAGGAAGCTCGGAAAGCACGGGAAGAAGGTGAACGCAGGCGGAAGGAAAGGGACCACCGGTATGGAGACAGGAGGAGGCGTTACAAACGAGTAAGTAAAGTACATATGGAGACCTAATGAATATATTCTATAGTTTTTCACCTTCTCAACTCTGTTATATCTGGGGACCAAGTGAGTGAATATAGTTGCAAATGGTTTGTTTTTGTTTTGCAGCCGAATCCACGTGATTACATGGATGATTACCATGTAAGTGGTTTTCTTCTATCTCAAACACTTAAAAAAAAACTGGTTTATGCATTTTAGTACTGAATCATCTTAATTTTTCTAAACTTGGTATGATTCTGAATTTCGTGTAGGATGAGCTGTAAGGCGCAGTGGTGGACATTTGGAAAGCATTGGGGAAAGTAACTATATTTTGCTCAATATGTGTGATTGTAATTTCATAATCTGTAACCTTTTGTATTCGTATTCTTATAATGTATTTTGGCATGAAATCTTGACTTGTTATTTTGCTTTCAATACAAACTTTCTAAAATTGGCAAGAACGACAAACTACCATGCGGTGATCTGTGAATTTTGATAGAAGTGGTAATATTCAATTTTTACCACAGCTAATCTCTTTGCATCCTCATAAAGAAAATAGTTGAGTTGAACTGAGGTTTGCGTTTCTTAGTGAAAAATAAAATAAAAATGGAGACCTATAGCTACAAAGTGTGGTGTGGTGAAGGTAACCACGTACATTTGGAGGAATTAATGTGAATACATTTTTAGAAGTCGTAGACTCCAATAACAGTAGGTGAAAATTAGCCAAAACTAAGTAATTGTGTAGTGTGTAGACGTTTGTGATTAAGTTTAAGAGGAGATCTATGTGAAGCTTGTTTACTGCTTTCTAATGCATTGGTTTACTCTTGTTTTATGAAGCTTGTTTGATGTTTATCACCGACATCGTCTCATGCATATCGGACACTCGTCGTCCCTCAAAAAAAAAAAATATTGATCCTAAAACATTGAAAATTCTATTTCATATAAGATAATCGCCAGTCGCAAATGGTAATCACCCATAACATATAGCTTAAAACTTAAAAGGTTGTTTTAGTGTCACTATACAGATTCAATTCACACAATATTATTAATTTATTGTTGAATAGAGAGACAAATCGTCAAATGCTACTTCACCTAGCTAATCGTCAAATGTCTTTTGTTTGTTCTTTAGTGGTTCGTTTAATCTGGAACGTCCTTATAACAAGAAATATATCTACTTAATTAACTATGGAATTACAATAGTATTCAATTGATATAAGTAATCTATATATATATAATGGGAGAATTATCTCTCCATCTAAGCTATCCACATCATTATCCATGTCATCCTATTTTAATTTTTTGTGAGGTCCACATATATTATTTATTAAAATAATAAACATTACAACTAAAATTTCATTCACACACTTCATATTATTATCTTTTATTAAATAAATAATAATAATTTTCTATATATATAATGGGAGAGTTATCTCTCCATCTAAGCTATCCACATCATCCATGTCATCCTATTTTAATTTTTTGTGAGATCCACATATATTATTTATTAAAATAATAAACATTACAACTAAAATTTCATTCACACACTTCATATTATTATCTTTCATTAAATAAATAATAATAATTTACAAAAAATAAAATTAAATATTAATAGAAAACGAAAAAATAAATATTTTAAACAAAATATGAAAATTTTGAATAGAGATTGAATAAGTATAAAATTAGCTAATTATATCTTAACATAATATCACTTCCACAATAACAAAATATAAATAAAGAAGGTTATCATATATCTTAATGGTACAATAATTATTTTTGAGAGTTATAATTATTTAGTATAATAAAGAAAAAAATTAATAAATTTAAAGGTTCTTACTTAAAATAAAAAGTAATACACAATTAAAATTTGAGAATATATTTGGTAATGTTAAAGTATCAATTCGTGATACCGATTAAAATATAAGAAAATTTGAGTATGTGCTATATATTATTATTTGTAATTATAATATAATATAAACAATTGGTATTTTTTAAACAAATGAATAGCCAAAAAGAGGAAAAACTATATATTAATCAGTGTTTAGGAAATTAACAAAGATTGAAAAAATTAAGGTGATTTAAAATAAAACAAAAAACTATTCTGGACATCACAAATAAAAATAAAATATTCTAATCAATAAAAAAACTGTAAGAATAATATTTGAGAATGATATTTGGAACTTAGAGTAGTGATAGTAATGGTAGATCGAAGAGTTTTTATTTAGAAATAAAGAAGATTTTGTTTTTGGGAAAAACAATTTTAAAATTACACATTTGTAAGTTACACATTTTAGAAAAATCAAATTTAATAATATTATCTAAAATCATAATATATGTCAACTTATATATGTGAAATGAGAATTTTCTTATTTTCAAACGATCAAGATAAAAGTGCAAGATTTGACGTTGAAATCTGATGTATGTGGTTATAAATGAGTTCATAAATGAGATTTGTTCTCGATAAAGCAATTTCACATGCACCAAATCATGGTTAAAGAAACTTCATGACAAATATCTCTCCAATATATTTTAACTTTCACTTAAATGAAGAAGACCATGCAACTTATAAAAAAATTGAATATTGAAATATAGTAAATAGCAAATAGATATAATCTGTTTTGGGAACCAATTCGTAGTCGAATATATTACATGTGATTCATTAGATGGTGAAAAAAGAGTAGGTGTCGAGAGACGACGAGTGAATCATCGAAGATAACAAGAGAAATGTAGTGAACAACATAATTATTTTCTAAACTTTGGACTAAGAATGCAAATGATTAAAATAAAATCTCTTCAAATTCGAATGATTATATTTATATTAAAAATACGCATTGATAAAAAAAAATTGAATTAAAATCCCGCGCAACGATTGAATTAAAATCCCGCGCAATTGAATTAAAAAATACGCATTGATAAAAAAAAATGCAAATGATTAAAATAAAACCTTTTCAAGACAAGAACCAGACTCTCATGTTCAAGATCCAAACTTTATCGCCATATTTGTCATCATGAACAAAATAAAGCATCAGAAGGTTTCAGACAAGATCCAGATGTAGTTGAATGAGGCCATACTTTGAACTCTATGTATGTACGTATCTATGTATATATGTATGTGAATCAGTAGAAACAACATTACATACTATATTCATCAAGTAAAGGTTTTTGTATAGCAAAATACTAACTTAAAGAGTGGTGAAATTCTCTGGTTTTTGTATTGAATGTTTAGAAGTCACATTGATGAACAACATTGAGAAAGATGTTGAAAGGAAACAAAGTATCGAGAGATTGGAGAAACTAGTGTTTAGTTTATTGAGAAAGATGTTGAAAGGAAACAAAGTATCGAGAGATTGGAGAAACTAGTGTTTAGTTTATTGAGAAAGATGTTGAAAGGAAACAAAGTATCGAGAGATTGGAGAAACTAGTGTTTAGTTTATTGAGAAAGATGTTGAAAGGAAACAAAGTATCGAGAGATTGGAGAAACTAGTGTTTAGTTTATTGAGAAAGATGTTGAAAGGAAACAAAGTATCGAGAGATTGGAGAACCTAGTGTTTAGTTTATTGAGACGTGGATCTCAATCTTCGAAGCTGATCAATCCAACGATCTTCATTAACATCGGAGGCCCAATCAGGAGCCGTTCCAGGGAACGAGATGGCTCGCATTGCCTCCATAACCCTAACGGCGTTCTCCGCCACTAACGGCGATCTTCGACGCCGTTCGTCCTCTTCAAATGCTCTACGGATCTCCGTCTCTGTTTCTTCTTCGCTCTCTCCGTCTTCGTTTATTCTAATAGAAGAGATTCCGGAAGATAACTGTCATCTTCTTCATAGTCATCGGCGTTATCTAGATCGACGGCTGAGATCGGTTCGTAATAGTCTTGTGAATCTTCGACGGAATTAGAATCGAAATCGCTACCAGCGTTGTTGTTCTCTGCAAACAAATGCATCTGGTTAACCAATTAAAGTAGATCCCAATTTCCGACAATCCGAAGAAACAAATCTGTTTTATCCTCATAAGAATTAAACAGAAGAAGAAGGAGAGTAGAAGAACCTTCCATAGAAGCTTCGATCGCCTGGCGACGAGAGGGAAGCAACTGCTTCTGCGACAGTTTGAGATGGGAACGCGTTATGTCGGAGGTTGAACTGAAAAAGACGATTAAGTTGTATTACACTGAGTTGACTCGGATTCCCCTATAAAGCCCATATTAAAGATGCCCACCATATGAGGCCCAATAATGAATCAAAGTTAGGACCTTAGTTTGGCATTGGTTGGATTTGGAACTTGAAACTTGAAGCAGACAAATTGTCGGAGTGTGAGATATCAAATACTGTATACAAATTTTTACGGTGTTGGGGATATTCTAGAAACATCAAAGATTAGAAAAAAAAAAAGGAAGAGCTCAGGAGTGTGGCTATATCATCTGAGAAATCAAAAGAATGCGAAGGACCCAACCAACGCTGAAGCCAATTTCATCACTGCTCATATGCACCAGCTGGTAATCGAACCCGGGTCTGTACCGTGGCAGGGTACTATTCTACCACTAGACCACTGGCGCTTATTGCTGGTTTACTTAAATTTCATGTTTATATAGTGTTACCGAAATAAAGTTACCTTCACACTTGTCCAGCGCCGTCTCTCACCATCACACGTATATATATCTCTTGATCTAATTTGCTATCACAATTTTGGAAGTATCATGGTTTTATAAAAACTGTAGCAAAGTTAGCCATTCATGTGAACTGGATTTTTGGGGAGATCAAATCAAGATAAACAAAGCTTAAAGACTTGGTAGTTGTTATATTGATTCGCTGTCTCATCTGTTTGATCTTTATCAGGCCTTTATTGAATCGCCGTTGAGGTCCTGAAAGAAAGATTTGGCCGCCTCGTAAGTGGACCAACAGATGGCTGTTGCAGATGCATGGATGAGCATTCTGGGGAGGCATCCCCTGTAAAGTGCCATAAACCCTTCATATTTCACAATGGATATGAACACACGGCTCAATGAAACCCTAGTGACATGCTGCACATGACCAAATAAGTTATGAGAAGAAGAAGAAGATCATACTATGTCTGGCCAGCTCAATTAGTTAGTTACACACATCTTAAAGTCCCTTTTATTAAACACTCTCAACATCAATATTTACGCCATTAACTTGCTGATATTTACGTTCATTGTCTACTTTTGTTTTTGCTTTTACATTTTGTGTGTGTGTGTGTGTTTTCCTTAAATAATCCACAACCTTCAAAGAAATGTTCAGATGTGGGTCAATCACCTTAGAAGGGTCCGTTGGCTGAGAAAGCGTCATCCTTATAATACCCAGCGGCCAAGTCAGAGCAACTGCCAATCTGTTGGTTTAAGCTTGAAAGAGGCTTAAACCGGAGGTTACTTAAACTGCAAGATGTCGGTTTATTGAAGAGATAAAGACTAATTCTTTAGGAGTTATCTAGAGAATATTATGTAATCCTAATTGAGTTATGATTAGGTTTAGAGGTTGTGGCTATATAAGCATATATCGAGTTGTGATATAGCTTATGAGATTGAGATAGAGAGTTTTATGTGTTTAAGGTTTTTGAGAAAGAGAGTTTGTTTGAGAGTTTGAGTTCTTGAGATTAATAAAGATAGTTATTCTTTAAAGCTTTGTGTTCTTAATCTCTACTTTGAATTCTAGAGTTATTCTTTAAAGAGTTGTTCTTATATTGTGTTTGATTCTATACAATCCACCGGCGGTGGCTCCTGCAGTGGCATGAACCAACCACCAACCCTTCTTTTTCGGTGATATCTCTACCAGTTTCCTCTTGGCTGCCTTGTATGTCACAAAATGAACGGCAGAAGAATACACATTCATCCGAATCCCCGTTCTGTAAAAAGTGTAGAACCTACTGATCCCTTCCTCACAAGTCACCCTTTTGACGCAATCCCAGACGCCTTTGTAGTTCCCGAACCCACTCTGCTGCCTCAGCTTCGCCATATCCACGGGAGTTGAAACGGCATAACTCCATACAGCCGCGAAGGCGCCGGAAATCGCATGGACCACAGAGTTGTTTGGATTCCCGGCAGACAAGAACTTCTTGGATACTTCGTAGAAGGAGAAATAAATGAAGTGAGCGGGTCCCATGGCTCCATGCCTCATAGACCATATCCCACAGTACAGAGCCGATGGTCCTTCCGTTTGGATTACCGAACGCAAAGCCTGCCGGAATCCGACATGTCTTTGCGAATACGAACGATTAATGATACGTTGATTAATGATGCGAACAGGAAACATCGCATGTGCTTGACGGAACCAGCAACTGAACCAGCAATCATCAACTGCCAGAACTGGAGGTCTTGTTCCTTAAATTTTGGTGCCGTTAAAGTTTCCACTGCCATATTGAGAATGTTTGGAGCAATGACGCTATGATGATACAAAACCTGAAGATTAACCCCCAGAAATCTGACCAGAGAATTTGGGAGACAGACAATTAAACGCGCAGACTGGAGACAACTCATGTGGATCGTGGTCTACATTTTCTCTAAGTTTTTTTTTTTTTTTTTTTTTTTTTTTTTTTTTTTTTTTTTTTTAAAGAAAACTATTATTATATTTATCTCCCAAATGGGCTTGGGCCGAATCTACAAAAGTCCAGTCCAGTTACAAAATACGAAATCGACAGTTCACCGGAAAAACAAAAGAAGCTCGCCGTTTGTTGATAGATGCCCGCAGAGCTACCGGAGCCTGAAATCCGGCGGGCTCAAGACCCAGAGTTTTGTGGCTGCAACCGAAGACAGTGAAATTTCGGCGAAAGAGACCGGTTTCCGCCATCAATTTCATGCCTCCGACGAACCAACCCACCACAAGTCTCCCGGAAAGCTAGACACTCCGACTAAGCACATCGACGGAATCAGATCCTGAAGAAGCAATCCGACTCACTGGACGGAAACCCCTCTCTTCCAGACCGGCAAAACACACCAAGATCCCTGAGCTTTGGCGAATCGATCCGGCTCGATGGATGCTAAGTTGTGGCGGATCTAAAGGATGGTGGCTCAAATCCAAACCCTTACACCCGACATCCACAACCGCCCTCTAAGATCCTATGGATCTGCAGCTAACCACCGAGCAAACAACGAACCCACCTTAATCCCCCCAACTTCCGCCGTGAACGCAGCTTGAGACTGACGGTTGAGCCGGAGGAACTGAAGCCACTCACGACGTCCCAACCATGAGAGAACCGCTGCAGTAGCCCTCCTCCATCAGACCCGAGCCACCTCCACGTCAAAGGGAAAACGCCACACCACCGTTGACAGAGAAACGCGCTGGCTCACTCCTGGACCGCTTTTGAGTAGATTCGACCGACATTGAAGAACAAAACAGAAAAGAAACTTAGATCTGAGAAATGAAAATCGTCTTCACGAGAGAGAAAAAGACACGACTTACGAGGCAACGATTGTGCCTTTTTTCCCATTTTCTCTAAGTTACCTAGTCCATGATGCAAAAGGATTTGAATGTTCCTCCAAAATCATTTATTTTTCTACAAGTTGTTATTTATTTATCGGCAGTAATAAGGCTCCCCGATATGTGTATCGCTGCAATATCTAGTACGTTTAATATATAAGTATGCCTCGTTAAGTTATTTATTAGAAATTTGGAAGGAACATAGTTTTGTACAACTCTAATCAAAATTTCTCGACGACAGCATCATCAACACAAACCTGGAAAATATATAATCTAAAAATGACTTCATAGAAAACCTGAGAGAGCTATGTTACAAACAAATAAGAAAAGCAGGATCCTCAAGAGTGTGAATAGCCTAACCCTTTGTCTTTTTTCAGGCAGTGTTTGAATCGCCATTGAAGTCTTGAAAGAAAGATTTAACTCCTTCATAAGTGGACCAACAGATTGCTGCTGCAGGAGCATGGAAGAGCATTCTCGGGAGCCATCCCCTTAGAAGTCCTCTGTATCCATCTTTTTTCACTATCGTTCTCAGGACATGGCTAATCGAACCACTAGTGAAGCGGTCGCATCCACACACACCCTGCACATTACGACAGATGATTGAGGCCATATTTCACACATTTTAGAGCAAAGAATCATGGATATGGCTGATCGTGACATTGCTGTATCTTAAACTCTATGCTAGGTCAATAAGATTCTTGCAAAAGATGTCTAAGCTCGAGCAAGAAACACTAATATTCATGATGCAACACTACAAATAATCAAAAACATATATGCAAAAGATATACAAGTACTATACACTAGAGAGCTTTAACATATCTTGAAATGCTAAAGCTAGACCCGAAATTATTTGATCCCTCCCCATCTTTCACCTCATAAGATCACGTTTGAAACGAAACAAATTGAAATTATTCCTACATACAATATTGCTACAGTAATATAAGGCGCACCGCAGTAAGACCGAATTAATGATAGCTCAACTGCGAAATTTCATTGCCTGAAACCATAAAACACACTCTACCTCGAACCTACTGGTAAAAATATTGAAACCAAATAACTAATCTTCCTTCAACACTAGCTCTATGCGATTGTCAAACATTGGGAAACTTCAAGTTAAACCACAAAATTATGTTGCAGCCCTAGCACATGATTACCATCTGCCAGTAATCTGATAGTTCTTTTCACACAAGTCATTATTCACAAAATACAACATCTAACCACTCAAGTGAAACAACGCCATCTAAGAAGCTTTAGACCTTCACATAGACTCAAAATCCTACATATATGGATCAAGTTTCGAGACTAAAAGCATCATCTAAAGAAGCATTCTGCAGCACTGCACACATCAAGAAGCACAACACATCTATCGTTTACCAGTAACACCACTGTGTACCTAATCACATCGCCTCCATTATTCTATCCAAAGATGTAGAGATTAGAGACAAAGAGCAACCAATCATAGAGAGAAGGAATCATTCACCTGACATTGCAACTGCGTCTTGACAACATCAAGCGGCGTGGTCACAGCAGCTGCCAATCCACCAGCAGCAGCTCCAGCAGTGGCATGAACCAACCAACCTTCCTCATCACTAACTCTTTCCGGCGAAAACTCAATCAATCCCTTCTTAGCCGCCTCATACGTCGCAAAGTGAACAGCCGTAAAAGGCGCGTTCATCAGAACCGTCGTCCTATAAGAAGCATAGAACGCACCAATCCCTTCCTCACGCAAAACCCTCTTAACACAATCCCAAACGCCTTTATAAGTCCCTTCACCCATCTGCAACCTCTGCTTCACCATATCCATGGGAGTAAAAACAGCATCGCTTGATATAGTAGCGAATACACCTGAGATAGCATGCGCGACGGAATTGTTCTGATTCCCGGCGGATAAATACTTCTTCGATACCTCGTAAAAGGAGAAGTAAACGGCGTGAGCAGGTCCAGCGCCGAGACCCATAGCCCAAATCCCTCGATACAGAGCTGAAGGTCCTTCCTTTTGGATAATCGAACGGAAAGCTTGCCGGATTCCGACGGGTTTTAACGGACATGGACGGAGCGCTTGCATATGGGTCTTCACGGTATCGACGGGAAACATCGCCATGTGTTCGACGGAGCCAGCAATCGAACCAGCAATCATGAATTGCCAGAACTTAAGACCGTCATGAGCGATTTCCGGTTTAAAATCCGGTGTCTGAGAAACCTGCCGGAGATCAGGTTCCTGGAATTTGGGTACGGTTGTAGCCTCCGTAGCCATTTAGGGATTGTGGAGTAGATCGGGAGGCACTAGGCACTCGGCGGCGGGGACAAAATCTAGAGTAAAAGTAGGGTTTTTGAGGAATGGGTGGAGCAAATCGGAATGTGAATCACCGACGAAGAGAGACGGTGGTAACACAGACGTGATGGGGGAATTTGATGTGGTTGACTACATTATCTCCTAACATAGTTTTGTTTTTATCTCTAGGTTATCAACTTCTCCTTGCTGTCGTCAAAGGTTTGATCTTTCTTCCACAATTTTTATTTCAGGTGGACAAATTCGAACCGGAACTCTGTTACTCTAAATTCGTGACTTTAATTGGTTGACACGTCAGCAAGTTGCTGTTTTTTTTTTCTTTTGTAAAGCTGATGAGAAAGGAATAGATCATGAACAAAGAAGTTACCAATCGGCAAAACAAGCTCAATCAGAACAAGAACAAAACCATACAACACCATTATTACTCTTCTGTTATCTTCGTTTACCTCTTTCTCGCCATTATAAAAGTTTGATCTCTTTATGTCACCAATCGGATAAATTAACTTTCTCTTATTTAGTTTTTTACTTTACTTTTTTTGTATGAACTGATGACAAGAAAAGTTACCGGGTATATTTATTTACACATAAATATCTGATTAAGAGTTGTTGGATTAGGATCAACATTACAAACAGTTTTGAGCTTTTATTCGTACGAGGCATGAATGACATATTGCCAAAGCCGTGGCTACTATGTGCTATCACCCGGTTCTTCGGGAAAGCTGCTCCTGAAATGTGCTCTCGAAGATCTTATCAGCATTTCCGACCTCAAATCCATCGCGTCGATGAGACTCTCGTATCTGCGTTTTGTAGGTTTTAGAAGAGTCATTTCACAATGTTGGTAAATCATCTTTACATTATAGTGGTATCTAAGAGGAGTTCTCTACGCAAAAAATCGCATCAATTAACAGTAAGCGAATTCTAAATAAGTTAAGACTCAATCAGAGTGGTCACTTACCTCGCTTTCAGGGACATTTTGGTACTGGGGAAGCACAAGGCGTTCAGCAAACTCAATGTATGAACAAGGGATAGATTTGGTAACACCATCAGAGAACTTGAAAGAAATTGAATCTGCTACAGTTGAACTTTGCTGCAAACCACCATCAGGGCTAACTGTAAAATTGGAAATATAAAGATTAGCTTAGAATCCAATTTCTATCAATTGAGGAATAAAGATTCGTAATTATACCTTTAAGGACTCCTCCTTCTGAGTTCAATTTAAAACCTTTTTCTTCAAGGAACTGATTGAGTTTCTTGATTTTGTTTAGATGAGATTTAAGCCGATGAACAGAAATCGTGACATGGTTAAGTGCATAGCCATTGACAAGTGTCCATGCTGCGTATTCACTTTCCCTGTAGATCAATTTAACCCAACACAACTTCGGTTAGGAGTCACTACTCTATTTTAACCTGACAAGGAGAATTAAGATCATGCACCTAGCCAATTGTTCAAACTCAGAAGACAGAGGCTTTTCCCAAGTTAAAGTACCCAAAGCACTAGAAAGAGCAGCATACTTCTTCCCATTGGGCGATGCTCCCGTGTATTTTCTGATCACATCCTGGAAACAAGAGAAATTGCCTTCAAAGCTCATAACCATCTAGGGGTCAAACCATTTGACAGTATATTATTACCTGAGTCTGTGAACTCATCTGGTCCACAAGGAGCTCTGAGATAAAAACTCTTGGTAAAGGACCGTTAACGCCGCTTCCACCAGGAACAGCAGAAACATCAGGAGGTGCAAACCACAAAGCTCTAAGCTTTTTGGCCGGAAACTTCAGTTCATCCATCGGTGTATACCCATAGTCAAGGAAAAAGCTTGCAAGCGAGTCAATCCCATAACCACCAATCTAACACATTTCCACAGACAGAGAGGTCAATAAATTTGTTAAAAGGTTTAAACTTTAAAGCAGCCAAAAAAGAGGGGATTCAGGAAATTATACTCCAAACGTTCTGAAAGCGAGATGATCATAGCAAAGTTGCTCATCATCAACGGATCGAACAAGTTCCAAGACGGATTTAGGAGTTGGGTTTCGATTTAGGTAAACAGTTTCCATCTGCCCTAACACACTCCTGAAGAAAGATTCAGCAGCAACCTGGTCAAAGTGTAAAAAACGAGAAACGAGAGAATTAGATAATGCCCAAGTTATCAACTTGAGTACGCAAATTAATTGCCAAAGTATCAAAACAACAACAATCGAGAACAACAAAGTTTTGAATATCTTTCATGACCTAAATCAAGTCGAGGGTAAATACACCATGCGAAAATCTGTTCTTGTGTTGATCACGATTACAGAGAGATCAACGAAAGAACGTACCTTTGAAGATGATCCGCGAGAATCATTGATTGATGACATGGAGGAGTCTCTTCCAGAGGTAGCGACTACGGAGAGAACGCGGTTTCCAGCGGCGGGAAGCCGAATAAGAGATCCAGCAGAGAAGGAAACAGAGAGTGTTGATCGTAACGACGAAGGAAACGAGCGGTGGAGAGAGGCTTTAATGGCGGAGGAGTGGAGTGACATCATGGTAGAGATGAGGAGATGGGTGGTTTTGTCGCCGGAAAGCGTTGGATAGTGAGGAAGCTCCGATCATATATTTGATTAATGGAGATTCCGTGCTCCTCTGCTTCTCTCATAGAGAGAGAGTCGTGTCGTGTCAGATAGTACTACTATTTCATCCGATGAGACGTGGCGATATTATCAATGGGATTATCTTTTAATTTGTAATAATTTTATTTGGTAATTATAGCTGAAATTATATCGTTGGATTGATTTGTAGTTTGTTGATGATTTTTCAGAAGAAGAAACTGTCTACAGTTAAGGAAGAAAGAGTTGAATCTCCAATGACCTTAAATTAGATTTTTGATTGAATTTAAATCTCTCCACCATGGATACGTCGTCGTTTAAATTCACTTTCCCAATGCAGTGCAGCACTGCATGCTTGATTCGTTGGGCTTTTTCAACAAATGTCCTACTTTGGATGGACAATATAATGGGCTTTTTATCTTATTTGGGCTTTTTGGTGTGTGCGGTTTCCTAGTGGGCTACTATATGATCTAGAAAGGAATTTGAAAAAGCAGTAATAAGGATAGCTCGAACGGTAATTTTCCAACATTTTCACACCACATTTCACACACGATTAACAGACCCCCAAAAAAAACAAAAGACGTGTGATATCTATCTACCAAGTATGCCAAACAAGTTTTTTTCCGAAAAGTTTCGAATTTCGTCAACAATTATTAATATCTTAGCTTCATTTTGTCAAGTCCGGTGAAAGGATATGGAATCCATGAAATTCGGTGCAAGGATATGGTATCCATGAAATTACATATTTTTGGCTTAGAGCTCAATAAGTCATTAACTCATTAATATGTACATGTTATGCTAATGATGGAATGTCATAAAAATTTACGGTAGTTTTGAATATTCATATGAGAAAAACATGGTAGTTGATATGTACATTAGTTTGGTCCCGACAGAGGATGAGTAGATTTCGATTCAAACACATGTGGTTAACCCTTTTTTAGCCTTAAGACCCCACCAATTCGACAAAGACTTGCCATATACGTCCTCTTCATGTTTGCATCTCTTTTTCTTTTTATGTCAAGAAGATATTTTTCATTTCAATATGACAAAAGTTGTAAAAGTCGATAATGATATCTCAAAACTACAAATAATAATAACAGAAAAAAAGACACAACAAAGGTTGGAGATATTTTTCTTCCAGATATTTTCCCCCTTTTTAAGTCTCCCTTTTCACGAACCGACCCTACAAATAATTCAAAAGATTTTTTTTTTAATTTAAAAGATTTCCATTGCAAGAAAAATATAAAATTAGGCATCACACTATTATTTAGTGTCATGAAACTAAATGAGTTCAGGCTATAGTGTAGAATGAAGGAGTAAGAAAGAGACCTTAAAACGAGGTCGTTTATCAGCGTTGAGTTTTCGGACTTGGTACCTTATCTTCTTAGAGAAGAGCCTACTCTGTCTTTTCTCTTTGTACCTTAACACACTTGCTTCTCTTCGCATGTTTCTCTCTTCCTCTATCACTGGAACTTCTCCCTTCTGCATACACTCTAAATCATTAGTATTGACTAATCAAGATTAATTCACTAGTCATAACTTGCACAACAAGAGAGATTTACAAAAACTAACATAAAGGGAATTGGCCACAGTTGTATTATCTGTCCACAGAGGTTTCCGGTGATCAGACCAAGCATCAATAACTTCTTGATGGTTCAGATTTAGCTTCAGACCCAAGTCTTTGTCTTCATAATCCGTCGGTTTATTCTCCCAAAACCCGAAACTTGAGCCTTCTTGATCAGTACTCAATCTTTTTTCTTCTTCCCCTACATCTTCATCTTCGTCTTCTTCCCAGAAATCCCATGTGAGTTCGTGAGAGCAGCTTAAATTATCAATGGTGATGTCGAAAATGCTGTCGAAATCATCTATAGAATGATTGTGTTGGTCTCGAGAGAGACCATTGATGGACTCGAAGGTTGAAGAAAGTAGATGATCTGCTTCTTCTTCTTCCTTCTTCGGCAACCTTTGTGTATCCATATATCTCTTATCTTTTTCTCTGTTTTTTTTTTTTTCCTTCACTCTAATATTTTTTCTTTGTAAATCTGTCACCATACGAAAACTATATATAGCTACAATATTTACAGAGCAAGGTATTTCTTTAATACTTTAATATGTGATGTAACTGGTACGATGTGGCATCTTATCCTAAAAGTGATGGAATAATCTCAAGCTGATTGGTTTAGAGACTCCAGCTTGGAACCAATTTGAGGGACCTCTCTTACCGGTCCTTTGGCTCTCACCAGAGACCATATTAGCCACTTTTTTCATCTTTATACTAATAGCCGAGTCCTAGCGTCCTTGGGGCTAGGAAAGAGCTATAACACAGTGTATTATTACCCTTTTTTCTTCTGAATTCATTTATTTGTGTCTATTATATATAAATATCAAGTAATTCAATAATATACAAGTATCTTAATATTCTTAAAAAGAGAATAAAAGTCTCACATCTTGATGAAGAGGAATGGAAAGCCGAGACCCAAATCAAAACAGAGGCGTCCCCCAATTAAAATTGGTAAGTGATATCTATGTCTTGGTTTCGATCTTGATCTCGGTCTTTCACTCCTCTTCTTCATGATGTAAGAATTTGTTATTCAACACATTAGATGAATGCAAAAACTATTACATATTTATATATATGATAAAAAGTTGTGATGGAAGGAAATGATAATAGGTATGTTTTCCACCCATGATTGGATATGTAGAAAATTAGCAAATGACAGCTATTATAATTTATTACACAGACGCAAGTTAAATAGACATGATAAAATAAGAAAAATATATAAACTTTTTTAATATCTATAAATGAAAATGTATCAGTACAGCTAATTATATATTTTATAATTTATTACACATTAACACATGTTGAATTACGTATACATTGCATATGCATTACAAATCACAAAAATGATTAAGATATATATAAAAAGGAAAAAAACACAAGTTGACCAAGACTAAAAATAGGAAGATGATGATGACATATCCTGGTTTAACAATTACAAGGAAAATATCTAAGAACACAATTGTCTACTTGTGTAGCATAGACATGAGCCACATGACATATATTAGTACTAGATTTTAACCCGCGGTACACCGCGGGGCTATATTTTCTTAAAAAAATCAAAATGTAATTTGTTTGATAGATTATTTTGATTGTTAATTTTAGGATTTCACCCGTGGTATACTATCTTTTATAAATATCAACCCAAACCCGTCCCATCATATTACCCGTCCCGTGAAATTAAACATCATTTAGTTATTTTTCTTTTTAATAATACTTTTATTTAAAAGCTATATAATTCAAGTCAATTTAAAAATTTCTTTTAAATGGTTCCCATAAGATATATATACATATATATTAAATTTGTATAGAGTTGAAATAATATTAATATTACAAACTTTTTATATAATTTAAATATTATAAATATTTTTAAAAATATGCAATATATATTTTTTGTTATTGAATAAGAGGATATTATGTGTAAGAAATGTAGAAAATAAGAGTTTAATATTTTTATTATGGAGTCGCAAGAAAAATCTTTTATTTCTATACATGTTATTCGTTTATTAATAATAAAAGAAACAAATCCTTTAAATTAGATATTAACTAAAATAAACGCACCATAATTACTTATTAAGTAACAACCAATAAATTTCACCAAAAAATAGGTAACAACCAATAAATTCTAAACGCAGTAATTAAAGAATGAGATATTTAAAAAAAATATCAAATAAGATATAAGAATCTTAAAATAATTGAATATCTAAATAATTTAATTGTTAGTGTCGATTTTAATGCCTTCATTAATGTGGATTTTTTTTTTACAGAGAAATATTTCCTAAAGATTATCACATTAATGACTCAGAAAATTAAGGAAGATATGAATTTATGATTCTCGAAATCGTGTTGGTAATATCTTTAATTAATATTTTTCAAATTTAAATAATTAATGCCAATGGCATTCATCCGTAAATACATTCCAACTCCAGGATTTATTTGCTAAAAGTCATCCAAAAATGTATATATATATAGATTACTAAAAAGAGAAATTATGTGGCAATCTCTTTATTAGATTTTGAACGGTTGAAGTTTAGAACATTTTGATTTTCAAATTTCTAGAGTTTGTAAAGATACAAATTGATTTGCTATTTTATAATGCAAACGTAAGAACAAAAACTAGTTTTCGTACTTTTCAAGAAAAAATCTGAAGGGAAACTTTTCAAAAGGTGATATGGTAACTTTTCGAATTTTGATGAACGAAAGCTAAAACAGAAACAATTCATTGCAAAGAATTTTATGGGAAATGTGTCTGGTTTGAATTTGCTCATAAAAGGCATCAATGAGGTTAAGCTTCTTCTATTCTTCTTTGAGAAAAATAATAATCTTCATTCTTCAGTAACATGTAATCTTGTTATCGAAAGCTGACTTGGTTTTCAATGAACATGAAGCAGCAAAGTTTGCAGCATCAGTTGCATCAAAGTTCAAACACAGCGCGTATCTGGTTCTAGATCTCGGTTCATCCGAATACTACGGAGATCTTGCAACATTCTTTCGTTACGCTTCTTGATTCCTTCTCTGAACAAATTGCTACCTGTGCAGTCTGTATTTTTAGTGGGTAGAGTCTGTCTGGTTTGTATTCTGAGTTCCTTGCTCCTCAAGTACTCTGCACCTCGTGCCTGAACTGTTTGTGAATTGAAATTACTCAGAACAATCAGTCAATCAGTTACATTCTAACAAATTTATATCCTTTATGATGGATCCACACAATAGTTGGTAGAGTCAGTTTATAAATCATCAATCTTTCCAACCAGTAGATTTCCAAGATCCTAATGTCAAACTCAATGGATTCTCCCATACATAACAGTTACATATACAATGAAGGCTTAGGAGCAAATAATTCCCCCATGTCTGATTTCACACTACATTGAAGGAAAGGAAAGGTGGGAATAAAACTCAGGTTGAGAGAATTTAAGAGCAAATTCTTCTTCACACAAAATGAGTGAGAGTGAGACGAAGAAAGCAATCGAAATTCAGTCAGGACTCTGTTCCAAGCAATGAACTTCAAAGAACACACCTTGTAAATAAAGGTACCTGAATGTGAAGATGTTAACGAGGCAGCCGAATCCCGTAGTCTCCTTACTTTCTCAGCAGCATTCAAAATTTCTGAATAGTCTTCTAATTTTGGCTCATCAAGACTATCCTTCTTAAGACTCAACAGTGCATTTTCAGACGCCTACATTAACATCAGAACAATGTCATACCGTCATAGTAAGATAAGTCAGAAATAAATAATAGAAGCAGATATACTCCACAAAAAGAAAGAGCACAAGCAATGGAAAGGAACAAAACTGATCTGTACTTCCATTTGGGAACAGAACATGTAGAAAAATAACGTTAGTAAAATCCAGAGTAACGAATAACAAATCGCCATGTATCCAACAATTGAGCAAATTGGTATAGCAAAATTCCGATCATCCAAGCATGAACTTGTTAGCAATTGCATAGTAAGTTCATTTTCCATTGAGCATGTTAAGAATCTCTAACCCTCCCTCTAATATGGATTTCTCTCATTCACCATTACTAAAAGCAACGAGATCATATCTTACAGAAGGAAGAGTAATTATACCTTTCCTGCAATAGAAGGGAATCCATTTTCCATAGATTGGACTGCAAATTTGGTCCATTCTGAATGTGAAACCCTTAACCACAAACAGCTTGGAGACTTGAGCTCCCGCAAGTTCAATGCCTCATACCTCATAGCCAAACAACTCTACTCAAGATATAACAACAAATTCACATACATTAGAAAAGCGAGAAAGTAGCACAATTCCATCGGCAAATCTCCAATCCTAATCGGGAGCTTCTTAAGATCATTTATAATTTATTCGAATCTACAAGGATAGGATACGAACCTCCATATCACCGATAAGAGCAAAAGCACGCGCGAAGAATTCAAGTACGGAGAGTTTTGCGACCATGGATTCTCCGGTGAGCTCACCGAATATAGCAACCGATTCCGATTTCAGGAAATCTCTCAAGCGGGATCTAACTTCGTAAAACGATTTCGCATTCATTGCAACCAGAGACAATTCGAGAATTCGAAGAGATTCTTCATCAAACCTGCAAAATCAACAACCCAGTTTTAGGCAACAACACAAAAGAGAAATTGAGAGTTCAGGTGATTCGGAGGAATCGAAGGACCTTCTATCTTGGACCCGATTGAGAAAGAGATAAGTCTGATCAGTGATCATCGACTCTGACATTTTTCAAGAGAGAAATTTGGGCGGTGTTTCGAATTTTCAATGTGCCCCTTTGATTTGAATTTTATGGCGCATCTTAATTGTTAATTTTGACGGCGCATTATATAACAACTCATTTAAGGACAAAATAAGCCAAGGGGCCGATAGCACGGTATGGACATTCGGCCCATATTTAGATTTATAGGCCCATTAATATCAAACGATGTCGTTTTCACATGCCATCTAATTACCTCCGCGGGTGATAAGGATACGCTTATTAGGGTTTGTGAGCTTTCGTCTCCGTTTTTTGAAGGCAACTCTGCTAATTTCTTCCACCGGACGATTCGATAAAAATGGTGAAAGGACGCCAAGGAGAACGTGTCAGGTTATTCATCTTCTATTTTCTCTAATATGTATCTGCTAAAGCTTCAGATAGCTACTAAAATTAGCTACATCATTGACGCTTTTACACTTTTTTGGTGGATCTCGCTTTTTAGCTTTTCTCAGCTGATTTTCCGATATGTTTCAATCTTTTTATGCCAAATTATCTCAATTTTAGGCTTAATTAAGCTTTTGCTTCACTCAATTTTGTTTTATTTTCTGTGATGCAGGCTCTATGTCAGGGGAACCATACTTGGCTACAAAAGGTGCGCCATTGTCTATACATGATTTGTTGTTCTTTTTTCACTTTACTCGATTGAGTCGTTTTTGAACTAGCTCCCATAAACAGTGAATTTTGGCTGATATTACTGGTTAATACACTTTTTTATGACCTTAGATTAGTTGCTTATAGGATTCAAATGCTAGTTCCTGAAAAAGTAGAACCACTTATCCACTTATCTTTCTGTACTTTTGATTCCGAGCTTAGATAGTTGAAGTGGGAATAGGGTATAACAATCTTCCATGAAGTGTGTGATAGGTTGCAAATTGATGTTGTTTCTGTTTTGTATTTAGTCATAATTGTGTCCTTAAACACATTTTATGTGTAAATATGTATAGGTCGAAGTCAAACCAGTACCCAAACACGTCCTTAGTCCAAGTCGAAGGAGTGAACACCACTGAGGAAGTGTCATGGTACAAAGGTAAACGAATGGCTTACATCTACAAAGCCAAGACCAAGAAGAACGGTAGTCACTACCGATGCATTTGGGGCAAAGTCACTAGGCCTCACGGTAACAGTGGCGTTGTTCGAGCCAAATTCACATCAAACTTGCCTCCTAAATCAATGGTATATTCAAATCATTTCAGTTATATATGTTTGAAACTAAGTTGTTTTCTCTTTCCTAGCTCTTCTAATATAGCTGGTTGATTGTTTTTGCAGGGATCTCGAGTTCGAGTGTTCATGTATCCGAGTAACATTTAAAGCTCTGTGTACTCGTCATTTTTTTTGTCTGCAAGTCTTGTTAATGGACCTTGCTTATTATTTGACTCTTTTATCTTGAACTATTTTGGAGTAACAACAATTTTGGTTGAGCCTTAGATACGAGTTCCCTATATTGCCCAAATGAACTTTTACAGTATCAATTTTGAAACATTTATGCAAATGATTAGACGATGAGAGTGAGACACGTGGCTCCCGAAGCTACACGTGTCTGTAATAATTGGTAGCATTGGGAATAGCAATTATCAATTTCTCTCGGCTCTATTGAATTTTGAAGAAGAAGAAGGCGACGACACAACACCTTGCATTTGTATCCATGGCGTCGATAACTAGCAAACTTCTTCTAGTCCTAGTCTGCTACGTTTTTCTTTTCCCCTTTGCTTCGTTCTCATCGTCAGCTGATTTTTCTGGGATATCTCTTCCATCTTCGTCTCCGAAAGTCTCGGTGGGCCTGTACTACGAATCTCTCTGTCCGTACTGCTCCTCCTTCATAGTTAACCACCTCACGAAGCTCTTTGAAGACGATCTAATATCAATCGTCGATCTCCATCTGTCTCCGTGGGGCAATACCAAGCTCCGTCCCGATAACGTCACTGCCGTTTGCCAGGTCCTCCTTGGTTTTCTTCAATTTACGAAATCGATGATTCCGATTCGGCTGAATTAAGCTTTTAAGTATATGAAATCGGCTTTTCCTTAACCTAAATCTTGAAATTGTTTATATCTGAGATTTGACAAATTGGTATTTGTTGCAGCATGGGGCATTTGAATGCTTCTTGGATACCGTAGAAGCTTGTGCAATTGATGCTTGGCCTAAAGTGGTAAGTGCGATTATGAGATCTTGACTTCATTTGGTGAGGCATGGTTGTGAGATAAGAAAGATTGTCACTTTTTGTTGCAGAGCGATCATTTCCCGTTCATATACTGTGTCGAGAAGTTGGTGACTGAACACAAGTACAATAAGTGGGAGACTTGTTATGAGAAGCTCAATCTCAACTCGAAACCTGTTGCCGATTGTCTCAGCACTGGACATGGGAATGAGGTTAGTCCCTTGTCCTTGTGTAGCTTGCTTGTTTCACCACAAATTCTTTGTTGTTGATTGCTTTTTAGCATTGGAACATTCGATTCCTGTATCCATGATACCATTTTGCATTTGTGTTGTCTGACTGGGCTAAGAATATTGAAGAATGTCATGAGCATAGGCTCACTTCCACTTATTCGATTTACCATGTTGTTGTTTTGAAGTTTCTGGGTTATATAATACTCGGATATGTGCATTCAGTTTCTTATCTTTTTATTTGCTGCAGCTTGCTTTGCACTATGCTGCAGAAACAAATGCTCTTCAGCCTCCTCATCAGTACGTGCCCTGGGTAGTCGTAGATGGTCAGCCACTTTATGAGGTTCGTTTATTATTGCTTCTTTTCAAACTCTTCTAAAGTACTGAATATTTACATAGCCAATCCACACTCTCTTACTCGTTGTATGAACGATATCGGTAGGACTCAATTGCAATTGTTAGTCATTGAGACTTAAGATTTTCATTCACTCCACGGATTGATTTGGGATTTGGTTTTAAATCACTTAGGTTTAATGTCTTTAGGGAGTTGGATCATCTAAAACCCATATAATTTCTCAGAGCCTTTATTTACGATCGTCAATTATAGTTGCCTAATCTCTGGGGAAGACATGTTTTATAGGGGTATTATGGGTTAGTACAAGACCCTATGAGACATGGATGTTCCCGTTGCTAAATGTGAATTGTCTTTGTTCTTGTGAGTTAGATGGGCATTGGCAGTTTGGAAGCAGAGTTTAGTCTTTTAGCTGTAATTAGCATACGGGAAGTGAAATGCACGTAGGCTTGTGGTCAAAGGCTCATAAAATCATCATTGATCAATTGGAACAAAAGTTCTCTGTACTTGTGGTTTATGATGTTTCTGGTCTTTGAACTAAGCTCATTGTCTTCTGTTTTTTTACCTCAGGACTATGAAAACTTCATAAGCTACATCTGCAAGGCTTACAAAGGTAATAAAGTACCTGGCGCATGTGCCAAATATGCAACCGGCAACTTCATTCGTAGTGTCAAATTGAAACGCTCCCCTCTGGTAAGCCGGAAAGGAGTTAATAAGATGTGGGATGTGTTGGAACGTATCAAAACCTCTTTATCGTCATACATCGAAATCACCCGCCTGCTATGAACACATCCTGTATCTTTTACCTATGTAACAAACACCCTAAAAAGCTATCTAGATTCTGAAATATGATGAATATGTATAATCTATATGTATCAGAATGTATGTCTGTTGTGTTGTGAGGACTCAGAGACCTTTGAAGAATCACATTAGTCTTAAATATTTGTGTTATTATTACTAGACTAGTTGGGGAAAAAATGCAGTACTTGGATTGGGTAAAAACGATTTCGGTTTTTGTTTTGACTGAACTCGGTTTAGACAGATTTTGTTTTTCTTATTTTTCGGTGAAGTTGTAGACTGTAATAGAACCAAAATTGTCTCCTCTATTTCACCTTTAGCATTGGCTTTGATTTAATACAATTTTCTTTAAATTAGCCAAGAACGCAAAAAATTGTATATTTTGGGGTGAGTTAGTCTACACTCCACACTCCACAGGCATGCATACACCTATCACTAGTAGGAAAGGAACCTATCAGGGTTGACGATGGAACAGTACTGAGGACCGTGACCTATCACTATTCACTACTCACTTCGACGTTGACCGTAACAACAACATCAATATTTCGATATTATGTTTATATATCACAATCGATAGTTATATTACAGAAACTGAGAAACGTAAATAAACAATCCAGACTTTAAACCTTTCTTTCTAATTAAAACGATTATACATTAAGACAAACTTTCCTCATGTGTGTATACTAACCTTTATGGGTCCATGTATTGCTCCTCTAAACTTCTAGTCACGATCAAAATGAAATGTAATTAATGTAGCTAATTGGTTACAACCTTACAGGTATAATCATTAATTATAATAGAATAAAATAATGTAGCCTGGCTGCTGGCTCGTCTTTATCAAAGCCCATGTGGTGATTAGGAACAAAACAAATTTGGATAATGATTTTGAAGGACCACTAATTCTGACGACCTATATAGGGGAAAAGCTGTCTCAAAATATATAGACTCGTAATACAAACGCTAAGATTATATATAGGCTAAGAAGACTTTTTTACATGTGTAAAACGATCACAAGCTAAAGAACAGTCACGAAAACTATAAGTTCTTATAATGGTCAACCGATTAAAACGTCATTACTGACGACAGGAAAAAGAAAACACCACTTCCATTACTTCACCATTTGTACTCTACAACTATAACTTCATTAGACCAGATCAACGTATTTGAACATCGCATTATTTCTTATTATCGTCACTCTATATATGACTATAGTAAAAACCCATTAGCTAATCGACATTATTGTAGATGCTAGAATTGTTTTCTAAGACAAAATCTAATCATTGAATTGTACAATTGAAATTTAGTTTATAGATTTCGATTTATTTAATTTATGACTTCAGTATAAATACGGATATATTAACAAACTGAGAAAACATATATAAGCGGTGCTACTGGTAGTATCGTACAGAAAAATATATAATAATTCTAGTTTATAGCACTTAAAGTTAATCAATCAAGTAAAACTTAAAAGAAATTTTTTTCTTCTAATTCCTCCAAAAAGTAATATAAGAAATTAAAAACTTTTCACTACAAATATATAACTAATACAGTATAACTTCTATAAATTAATATTTCACTAAATCAATACATTTCTTTGTTCCTAAATTTGGTTTTCGAAATAATTAATATATCGATAAATTAATAAAATATCATAATTTTAAACTATATTAATTTATAGAGATTTTATTGTAAATAAAAAACCTAAATTTTGCTTTTCTTTTAATCTATTTTCATCTAGCAGTTTTCCGGTTTTTTCTTCTAAATTCTTACGAGGCTCAGCCAATGTAAAGGTAAAAAGGATTGAAGAACAAACGTGTGGAATGACACGTATTAGAACACAGTGAACACGAGGCCTGATGTCGGTCGGAAATAGTGGCAAACAATACTGTCTCAAGAGTCACGATCTTGTTCTGTTCATGTGACTTTTACCATCTTTCCAAGGTTATTTACGTACACGTGCGTCTGTACGTATATGAAAAAAACACATACGTAGACCTAGCTACTACTCATGAGACTAGAACAAAATAACATATTCTAAGTTTCTAACCAATATATTTGGCCACTAAAATTTCTTAACTAGAGACATTGAATTTATTGGCAATTGATTACACAATACACAATTTTTAAAGGAAAAGTGTATTAAATTTTATCTTTGAATACTGCGTACTTTACATGCATGTACCGTATAAATAATTATATGAAGAGAAAAAGAACATTAGAACTTTGTGTATATGCGTAGACACACAGATGAGATACAACTTCTAAATACGGATCTTCTAACTTTATTTTTTAGTTCGTCTAAACGTATTTGAAAACTATTTGCTTGAGAAAATAATGTGGGATTAGTAAAGATGACATTATCTTCAAGCAAATAAAAATTCAAATATTCATCGATGTGTGATTGTATTCGTACATACCTCAACGTACACATACAAATTAACGTATGTATATATATACGCAAGCTGAAAACAACCCACTTCTCCTCCTTCATCTGCCTCTTTAATCTGTCATCTTCTTCTTCACTGATCTCTGAACTCTTCAAGAAACATTGAAATTAAATCTCATGATACCATTTAATTTGATCAGAAAAGTAATTAGATGCATATATAGTTCATATAGAAGATATATATTGCATGAAAAAAACGCATTAATCCTTGAAAGTGTGTGGTCCGCATTTGATAAGAATTCAAAATTCAAGAACTTAATGCATCAGAGATCCAGTGAACTTAAACAAAAGACCTCCGATCCGTCTTACCATAGTTTCAAATCAACTCAAAAAAATAAATTAATAATTAGGTACTACGGAACAAAAGATGAAGTGAGTTCCATACATACATATAAATAAGTATAAATCATTAATTAATCAAGAAAACTATAATATATAATTCGATCTAAGGCGGTACGGCTTCGGCAACAGATGGAGCACCGACGTTACAAGCGTCTCCGTCACTTTGTCTCGAAGAAGCGACGTCAACTCTAACGGTGGTGACAGTTGGTGGCCGTTTCCGTTTCTTTTTCTCGTAAGGAATCCCTCGAGCCTTGGCCTGACTCTCTCTGACTTCCCTTAAGTAAATCCTGACCGCACGTGTGGCGAACGGGTTTGAATCAGGCCGTCCACCGTTCTCCTCGTAGGCAGCTCTCAACCGTCCGATCAAAGCGTCGAGAGATCCCCAAGCTTGCTTGAGAGGGCATGAGCAAGGAGACGGAGGTTGCTGATGGCCGAAGTAAGGACAAGCCGCCACGTGGACTTTGGTCTTACCGAACTGGTCGAGGTACTTGAGGAATTCGATCACGTGCGCTCCGCTACAACGTGACAACGCGAGAGGCGGCTTGTGGTTCTTGAGGTACTGCAAGAAAGTGTTCCAGTCACGTCGCTTCTGTGACTCATACCTGCTAGGTGTGGCCGGTGGCGAAGAGACGAAAGATGGACCCGTGTCGTCTCCTTTTACCGGATCGGATCGTTGTGACCCGGAATCCGCCGATTCCATTCGAAACTAGGGTTTTTTTGGTGCTTTGCGAGAGTTTGATTTTAGAGTCGATTTTTTTTTTTTGAGAAGAGAGCGGATGATAATTTAGTGTTTAGTAGTTAAAGAGAGAGAGAGAGAGAAAAAGAGTGTGAAGCTTTGTTAGGTTTTGAGGTTTTATTTATTTAATTTTTAAAACAGGAAAAAAAAAAAAGGAAAAAAACAGAGGGTTTTGGGGTTGAATAGTATGAATTGTGAAAGAAGTAGAGGATGTAGAAAGAAGAGTGGGAAAATAGAAATGTAAATAAGAAACTAAATCACGTGGTCATGGCCCTACTCACAGGCCACTTGACACTTTTTACTATTCTATTTAGGTCAAGTGTGGGGCTATGCTTAAATCTTTTAATTTTTCTTATTTATTAATACCACTATTATTAAGAGATATTATTTTCTAAAGTTATTGGAATTATATATAATTATAAACCAATCAGGAAATTGCAGGTATGGAAGACAGATCTGAATTATTAGTTTTTGTAATTTAATGTTTTACTTGGTTTACATCTATTTAATGCTTTGTTGTTCATATTTTCCTCATAATGAATTTTATATGGTAATTAAATATTTAGAGTAGATTATATGATGAGATCAATAACAACCCATGGAAAGAACAAAAGCAAATGCTGTTGTGTTAATCTCTCCTAAAGGCCATCCGAAATTCCGAATACAATATTTGGATTTATATAGTCAAATTGAGGGCTTTAATTTCTATGTATCCGATCCAAAGCCTTGTGTTTGGAAAATGTGTTTATACTATCTTAATTAGTACTATCTTGCTTCTTGATGCTAATTTTCATGTTTAGCTAAAAATAATACGTATAGGTAAAATGTTATCAACATGGTTTGTATTGTATGGGCGGATCCTACTCATATTACATATGTTTTACAAAATTAATTACCACCATAAATTATTTCCAAGAAATTACAAATAGGTTTAAGAAGAGTTCTTAAAACTTTAGGAAGGCTGGAAGGGCTATAAAACTATGTTAGTAACTTTTTCTAAACCTGAGTTTTCTTTTAAAAACTTTCTAATTTGTGGTATAATGAGAACTAAATATGTTTTCTGATATTTGTTTTTCTATTTCTATAAATCTAATCACGAATTCATGAAACCACTATATAAATCTCATAGATTTTAATATATGTTGCAAAAACCGTCATTATATTTCTATCAAATTGCTTGTATTTGTTAGGAAAAAGGAAAGATGAAGGGTTTCCTGATAAAACCAACACTAATCTAGTCTAATATTGAAAAATACATGCATGTATGTCAGTATGTGACACAATTATAGTAAAAGTTCATCTGTTTTGCTTTTTTTACGAGTGAGGGTAGGTATAACTGTATTCTCTGGTCGTTAACATATCAAATCGTATGTTTTAAAAGATTAAAATCGAATATACACACTCGAACCTCTAAATCGTGATCCATACCAAATCGTCATTCATTTACTTATGTTTTGATTTTCGATCTGAAATTTCTTAGTTAGCAAATTTCTTAATTAGTTAGCAAATCGTAATCTGAAATTTCTTAGTTAGTAAAACGTTTGATGTTCAATGGTTTTGTTTTTTGGCAATATCAAATTCGCTCGTTCAAAACGCATCTGATTACTTATTAAAAGATGGACCACTGTGTTGAGT